TATATATATATATAGACATTGAGGTAAGAAACAGTAAAGATTAAGCAGGAGATAATATATCACAATCATCTCTAGCTTTCCAAAACAGTGACTAGAATATGATAGAATAAGAAGGACAATACTTTTTTTTAAATCACTAGAAATTAGCTATTAATGTTTGAGAGATTTTGCTCCCACAGTTGCTATTTACAAAGTTCATTTCATTTTCATGCAAAGTCCCAAACCTCCCTTCAGTCCTTAAGCTTTGTTTTAGTTTTTATCACAGAAAAGAGATTTTAAAGTTAAGTCAAAAATGTCAGCACAATTTTCACTAACAGGCCAGCTTTTTTTCTTTCTCTTTGGCCAAATGACAGTTTCCTCTTGGTTGATAAGATGGGTACTGGAGTAGTTCTTGGTCCTTGCGCTGATATATTTCCAGTTTAAAAATCATCCAACATATGATAAAATGCTAAGTGAGTTCTACTCTGTATATGTGATTTCACACACTGTCTCTTTTATGATGGTGATTGAATGGTGATGTAGAATACACTGAGTTTTTGCAATGAATAGAATAAGTTCCTTGTTAATTTATTGTATGAATTTTCAGTCTCACTCTGAATGACTACTTCCACATATCCGTTTAATTTTTGGTTAATTTGTAGTTATAATTTATATTTAAAGTAATTTTTTAAGCTAAAAAATATAGATCTTTAATCCTTCTGTATTTATAACCAGTGAATACATGACATTTCAAGGGAAAATGTCCTGTAGCTTAGGCTGACTTTGCTGATGGTACCACAAAAGACAGAGTAATTATTTTTGGTTGTTAATTTTAGTTTATAACAAATAAATGTGTACAAATTTCATGCTGAATAAAGGAAATTAACTTTTTATAACACCAAGAACTTTTTATAACACTGACTTTCTTTTCAGCATATTTCATCAAAATATTAAATTTTATAAGACATATTAAATGTTATATGATAACATTTTATCAAAATGTGTATTAAAATTTATAGATTCAAACATATTTACTAGAATGAAATCAGTTGGGAGATGAATAATGTTTTAAATCATTTACTATAATAATAAAAATATTTATGTAATGACACCAATGGAAAGGATTTGTTCTAAATGCTATAGAATATATTATGACCACTGCCCTTTTCAATGAGAGTTGAGTACTATGCTTTGGAGCATATAAATTGGAGATAGCGCTCTGGCATTTTCCATATTACATAGCAGCTAGAAATGAACTATACTTGACTTACCTGAAGTAGGTCTCTCAGACACAAGTAAACATTATGAGGCCCCAAGCTGATTATCCAAGTTATTCCCAAACTATCATCCCACCTTACATTTCCATCCAGTGTTTTTTATATTTCTAAAATATCTCTTCCATTCCTAAATTCAGTAGTTTAATCAATTACATACTATTATTTTATTTTACTTTATTGAAGGATATCTGAGTACCTTGAAATCATTTAGGTCTGTCACCATGAGATGTTTTTTTTTTATGTCTTATGTAGTGTCAGAAGTAGAATTGTTTCATTGCTTCTGGATTTGCGATACCTTTCAGTGTATAAACATAGTATCTAGCTATCTATCTATGTACTACAGCTCTGATTAATTTGTCTTCGAAGAATATAAAAGATTTTATTTTTCTAGGATATAGTAATAGCCTGAAAAATACAGTACATGAATATATTTTCACAGTGAAGATATATGAAATATTACTAACAGGGATTTCTGTAGTGAATTTGGTACAAATTATGTGTGCTTATTTGTATTAAATTTAGTAATTTCTGTATCTATTGATCCTAAATTTAATATTTAAGTCTTTGTATTTCATTGCTTTATATATCTTCCTGGTCTGCTAAGGACAGCAATAGTCTGATTGTTCTTTCAGCTGAATAACCACTAAGTTTAATAAATTTGTTTTATCCACAACACAGCAAGATTTTTGAATGAACACAGGGAATGTAACTCATTGGCTGGTTTAGTAGCTTCTTTTGAAGTTGTATGGTTGTTTGTGCAACTAGTAATAAGATGGGCTAAGATTCAAATATGAATCAAATTGTTCCTTAAAGAAGTGTATGAGCTCTGGGATTTTTCAGTGCTCTTAAAATGCAATTAAAAATTCAGTGAAGACAGTAAAACAAAACAAGGAAACAAAGCATAACAAATAATTCATCAGATTTTCTATGTATCTCTTACTTGTTTTGAGATTTGAGGAATTTTTAAGTAGTTTATAATTATTCACTTTGTTTTGCTTGTCTTACCTGACAACTCTGAGTATTTAAACTGTGTCCCACTAAGTTGTTAAATAGTCCAGATTGGACTGTAATATGTGATCCTCCTGCTTCAGCCTCCTCTCAGAGAGCTGTCATTATAGGTGTGTGCCACCAAACCTAGGTTCAATCAAGAGCAATTATATTAACTCAGGGCAATTCATAAGCATGAAATAACTTTATTCAGCAAGAACTTTGCTGGTGCTTTATGTATTTTCACCTAATCTTCACAACTACCCTAAATATGAGAATCATTTTCCACCCATAAAATATTTCTTTATTATCCATAATGTACATTTCAGAACACTGTATAGATAACAAAGGGAAAAAACTCAGAAGACATATTTAGTATTATCCAGTCATCTAGGAGTATTAGTACTTTAACAATTTTGAAAACAACAATTTTTTCCAGTAACAACAAAGGAGGATGAATATCTATGTAAAATCTGCTATATATAATGTTACAAATGCAAATATATGTACAAACACACAGATACATACATATGATTTTTATGAATAATGAAAAAGACTAGTAAATTATTAATTTAAGATTCAAGGTTAGGAATAATAAGTCAAATGTACATTCAAATAATACTTTTAATACTTTTTTTAGTAAGATATTATGTATGTAATCTAGTAGAAAAGTTATTTTTCCCTTGTTCACTGAATCATGGTGCTAAATTGTAAGTCAGTAGTAAACAAACTTTGACCAGAAATTGTCAAAGTTGCTGTTATTTTTCAATTAAGAAGAATTATCCCCTGCTCATTCAATTGGAAAAAGTCTTTCTTGATAAACAACACAATGTAAAAGAGAACCTGAAGAAAAATCCCAATTCATTTTGGTATTATTTGAAAACATTTGTTTGAACGGTTAAGGTGTAAGTCAAGTATAGTGCTCCTATTTGTACATAAATTATAAGGTTTATTATTAATGGTTGTCTCTTTATTGTCCTCATAAATGTAATTGCCAGTAGCTTAGTGCCCAAGAGTAACCTAGCAACAAGTAAGCTCTCCCGCAAGTGAGAAATGAATGCAAAGTGTTATGAAAAAAATTTATAGTTGAAGAATATTGGCACATACATATTATTAAAATCTTCTAATTTTTGAGAAATTACATGGAGATAGTTATTAAATTTCATATGAAACAATAGTACTCTCTGCCTCATTCATTCAGAATAAAAAAAGGAATGGATTTCAGACCTCACTCTTGGTAGCTAGGTAACTGAATACATTATTTTCCCTGGTAGTCTATTCATGACAGAGTAGATGAGAAGGGTCTTGGCATGTTACTGCTTTATAGTAGGTGACTTTACTATTTAGTTTCACCAGTAAACCTTCCTGACGGTGATGCATTTCTCATCTTTTAAATTGCTTTAGGATAACTATTCTCATTTATTTCTGAAGGGTTGTTCATGCAAAGATTCAGTTTAGGGTTGTCAATTTTGAAGGATTATGGAAGATTCTACTTTGTGTTTCACATTTTAACTTTGGTATAAATAGTGATTTCCATGGATGAATATTAATTTCTGCATTTGTAAGTTAATTTCACTGTGAAAATAATTCTCCTATGCTGTAGTTGTAATGGTATAAGAGAGGATATCAGTTATTAGGGAAAAGCTACAATTTTATAGGAGCATTATTTAATGATGAATAGATAGAGGTATAGTAAGAGAAACACACACTTATGAGTATCTTCCAGAAACAGCAGAGAAATTATGTGGCCCTCATAGATTTGACAGATAGTTTATTGCCCTTCAAGAAATCTTAAGTAAAGGACAGCAGGTTGGGATATGGACTGAGCATATGATTGTATATTTAGATGGTTGTACAGTTATTAAATGGATGTATAGAATTATAAACTAGAAAGCATATGCTCTGTGCTGGAGATACATTTTTCTCCAAATGCTCTCAATTTTGTCTTAGTTATTTAAATAATATATTAATAACTCTGAACCATTGCAACAAGCATGATGGAGATAACAGATATTCTCACCAGTGAAGGGTGAATAACAATTATGAGACGCATAAAGAGAGAGCATATTTCAAAAGGTAGTCAGATTTTCGTGTGTATATGAAAAGTTCAGTTACTTAAATGATTTGGATTAATATGAAACACCTTTTAAAAAAGAACCTTAAACAAAGCAAGTCATTAATATTAATAAAGAATATTTTTTATAAGGACAAAATAAAAAAATCTTTCCTACACTTCAAGATACCTACCTTCAATTGGAGACACTGTCTTATGAAAATTATACCCAAAATAGTATGACACAACAATCTGGTTTATCTGTAAAGATCTTACTCATTCCAGCTGTAAGCAATGCTTAGACAGCTGTTCAAGAGAACAGTTTTTAGACATGGCTTACGAATTTTAACTGCTCCCTCCAGCAAAGATAGGCTCAGACTGCTGAAAAAGTATACCCTTCCCTAGAGATGTGTATCCCTGGAGGGCAGAGACGATCCGATTGTCATTTTTATACAGTATGTCGTACTTTTTACAGTATGTGAGCAAGAAATAATGTTTTCCAATTGGCATTTGTAGATGCGTTAGGGATACCCACAACTCTTGAAATTACATTAAACCATCTAAACTACACGTTAAAGAGAGATCACACAATGGACATTCTTAGAGATGAAGTTTACCGTTGTATTATAGAAATCAATTAATTACCAGAACATCCTTGTGAAATTGTAAAGTTGATCTAAAAGGAACTGTACTTGTTATTGCAGGTTTGGTTACAAAAGTACGGCTACCTTCCACCAACTGACCCCAGAATGTCGGTGCTGCGCTCCGCAGAGGCCATGCAGTCCGCGCTAGCAGCCATGCAGCAGTTCTATGGCATTAACATGACAGGAAAAGTGGACAGAAACACAATTGAGTAAGTAGTGCTTCCTACGCCTTCATTTTTTGGTCTTTGCGCCAAACTCAGTACAGTAGTCAAAAAGCAAACAAACAAAAAGCTTTACATGAAATCTGGCCAGCACTAGCGGATTGCTTTAGAGTTTATCTCTTTTTGAACCCTAGTCTTCTGAAATCTCATATAATACTAAGGCCCAAAGTCAGGTTTACTCACCTGCTTCTAGCAACACATATTCAAACCAGAAGAGAAAGTAAGAATGAGTCAAAATAGGTGTATGGTTGAAACCACTACAAGAAATAATGACACTGAGTGACAGAGCTGGTTTGTGGGTGTGGGAATATTTCAAATGCATCTTTTTTTCAAAATCTTTGTTAAAGCTGGGCATGCTGGTGCATGCTTGTAATTCCAGCACTTGGGAGGCTGAGGCAGGAGGATTGCCATGAGTTTGAGCCCAGCCTAGGCGACATAAGCAAGTTTAAGGTTAACCTGAACTGCATAGCAAGACCCTGTCTCAAACAACAAACAAACAAACAAATGCAAATCTTTGTTAAGGAGTGTCATGTAATTTGCTTCAAAATGATCATAGTGCAATTATTTGCACAATGGAATTGAGAAACAATATAAACCAGGGTTGTTATTTTGAGTTTGAGGCACTATGTCAGAAATAGTTTTTAAGAATTTACCTGCTATTATTAGTTGCTTCCTGATGACAGTTCTTCTCTTGAGGTAAATCAAATGAGAGTTTTCATTGCAAAGTCTTTATCTGCAATTTCTTATTAACAACAAGTTTGTTCTCCTTTAATGAGATTTGTCACTTATTCATTCACCAATAATAGTTTCATTTATTTATTCCTCCAGAAACTCCTTACTGGGCAAGTTATCTGTTAAAGGTTTTATCAGACTTAGAAGATGAGACGTGTTTGTCAAAAGAGACTTTGTTGTACACACAACTACCCACAATCACACATTATTCAGCCATGGAAACTGAGAAAGTTCTAGAATATTATGAAGTAGCATTTTTGTGCCTAGACAGCAAAGGAGGAAGGGATTAATTTTTTCAGGGGAGGGAAAATCATTGGTGTTTTCAGAGCTCTTGAAACTCACAAATTGAATCTATTTCTATTATTTATGTTTAGTTTGATGATGAGACGTTAGCCTGCTCACTGCGGGAGACAAGGATATATTTTTCATCCTACTTTCCCAAATAAAGGAAGTGCGTGTCAGAGGCTGAGTGATGTTCACAGAAGCTGCAGTTCCAGGGCTGCTTGATGTGTAGTCTGGGGAAATTACCCTGCTGTGTACCTCAAAAAATAATGGTTAGTTTTCCATTTATACTTCCAATACCTGACATATCTGGACCTAGGCTTAATTATGACATGTCAAACTGATTTAATACATAATTATGAAATTATATTTTGCCTTCTAATGCTTACAATATGTTATTCATAGTACCTCTAGTTCATCAAGATAGGAAAACATAATAAATATTTGAAGATTAAACTTCAAATCAGATTAAAAAATAAATATAACATGTCCTCTAGTACTTTTAAGAGATGAATAAATATTAACTTTGATCCACATCTTGGAAACAAAATCAAGAAAATATCAAATTTTGATCTTAAGTGATAAAATACTCCTTGTCCTTAATAGTTGCAAGTTAACAAGCATAAACAGATGAGATGTGTGTTTTCTTGCTGTGCATAGTGCAGAATTCCTTTTAAACTATATTCATCATCCCAACATGTTACCAGTGCTATGAACAATGTTTTGATTCCTTAATGGAGAGCTAGTACCTTTCAACTCATGTGGTTGGCCAATCTACAGTTTTTAAAAGTACAAAATAATTATTTGGAAAGCAAATTATTTTAAATGGCTTACCTAAGTTAACTTGACTAGTGCAGGAATAAGAAGGAAATATTTAGTACTTACTTTTCTATACCAATAAAGAGTATAGAATGCCAAAGAGGAGCATCTGTTTCGGCTCATTTCCAAAGCTCCTTTTGGTCATTGGAAAGGACCCAAGACAGATAGGCTCGATTTCCTAAAGCACCTAGAGAGAGATCTTTGTAAGGAGTTAATAAAAATGGAATAAGTCCAGGATTTATTTAGTCCCTTCACGTGAAACAGGGTCTCATTGATTTTTGTGTTGTCTGATCGAGGTGGAGCTGTAGGAAAAAACACGACCATACAGCGAAGAACATGCGAGTTTTTCAGGCAGCCAGTGGCTCAGATTTCAGGGCAAGCAAAATGATAGTGTTGGTGCATATGATTTAGAGAGTCATTTCTATGGTATACCATTACTGAAAAAAAAGATCAACTATCCAGGCAAGTCTTACTTTAGTGTTACTTGTTTTTTTGTTTGTGTTTTGGGGTTTTTTGGTGAAATTTACTGTGTTTATTTTAGCAAAACAGTGCTCTGAGTTAGTTTAGAGGTGGTTTTTCTTGCAGGTGTTTCAATCGGTAATGCATTTCTCCTTTAATGAATCCTACACGCGGCAGTTCTTTTCAGGTGAAACCACAAAGCATTGTTCAAGCCCGCCCGTTTTCCCTGGCTTCCTTGCCGGCCTCCTCAGATCCCAGGCGGGCTGGACTTCTCCAGCACTATCGCTCCAGCCACAAACTGTTCAGCTTTGTTTGTCTATATTTTCTGTGGATCTGTCTCTCCTCTTCAGGTGTTATTGTTCAAGTTATTCAGATTGAGCAGTGTTTCATTTTTATGCTGTAATCCCCATTATGATGCTGTTAAAGCACTCATCTGTGCTTTTGTAATTTCAAGTGCATATATAGTAACAATACATGCTAATATTACACTCTGTTATTTTATATAGTTAAATTATAAGGTTTGCATTTATTTATTGTATAAAATATGAACTAGAGCTACAGACAAAATTTTTCTTCAATTTTAAAATAAATGTCATCTATTTTCAGATGCTATAAACTTACCTAATTTTAGATTCTTCAACATTTTGTTTTTAAATTAAGTAATTATACCCTTTAGCAGAAAGACATGTGGCACACTTAATTCGCAGTACTTGGGTAATTAAAAATGTTGATTACAATTGTGGTGATCCTTATATTATGTTGAAGAAATTAACCATTTTCAAGTAACAAATTGTGTATTACCTTAAATGGTACGTTATACTGTTTTTGTATTAATACAACTGGTGATGGATAGAGACTGACGTATACTTATTCCTTACCAAAAATGAATCCATTATTTTATGTTATAATCGTTCTTTTAAACTATGGGTTGGCTAGTTGGCTATTTTTGTAAGTGCACCCATTTAAATAATACTTGGAACAGTCTATAGTATACATAGAATGGTGTTGTCTCAAAAAAAAGAAAAATGGTAAATCCAAAGGAAAGTTAGTCTATTTTTATAATATTAAGTTATTTTAGCATTTTGAATTATGTTTTCAGTGTACACACTTGTGTGGACTGAAGCATGGCTGACAAGAAATTACTTATTAAAATGATCAGCTTTCGAATTCCCCCATGCATTACAGTTAATACTGAATAGCCATCTTCAAAAAAAAAAAAAGAATTAGTATGAAACTGCAGTAGTATTTCACTCCTAATTTAATAATTGCAATATTTGTATTTACCAAAAACAACAAAATGTTGAATTATCAGTGTCATATGTTTTATTCATCTGTTTAAATTATCATTTTAATACTCTATCATATCTTTCAATTCAGAGTGCAAATATGCATTGTCCAGTAAAATTTTAAGAGCTTTCGTGAATATTATAGTGATTCCAAACGCCATGACATTGTGGAATGGGTTCATCTTCATTTGGTAATGTAAGAACAAATTATATAAAGGAGAAAAAGGAGAGACTTTAGATTCTGTAAGGTGAAAAGAGTGATAAGAGCAAACACTAGAACTCCTGTTCTCACTGAAGATTATGACTTATTTCTGTTCTTGAACACTCACTTTCTCTCAGTCTTGTGAATCATGTGTGTGTCTGTATAAGCAGTTAATGACCCGACCAAAAAAAAATGCAGCTCTGTAACTGAGTTAGTTGTCAGCCATCAACATGTTATGCTCCTAGTCAATGTGTTTTTAAAAACTCTCTTATGATTCATAGGTCTAATACACCAAAAGCCTCCAAACAATTTTAAATGCAACACTTCTACAAAGATCTGGGGGACAACTATAAGTGATAGATACTACCTTTACCTTTAAGTGACATCTGCAAGGTCTGAAGGACTATATATATATATATATATATATATATATATATATATATATGTAAATATATATATATAGGAGTCAAACAAAAAGATTGTGTTAACCTATTGTGAGTATTGTTCTTGGGCTGATAGTTGATACAACATAAATATGTTTTGTGCATCACTTTTTTTTCCTTAGTAAAAGTAATTAGAAGTACACCTCCATATGGTATAACTCTAAATGCAAGGGTGACATTGTCTCTACATCCTACTACAGTGCCATTTCCTGTCACCTCATTATGAGGCCACAAGGGCCATGGATTGTAATGCTGAGGCTCCTCTCAGAATCGTACTGTGGGTGGCTCAATATGTTTGCCATGAATGCTGAGCTCAAAAGAATATTACTGAAGCTAGTAAATGCTGTTTCATATGCAGCAAGTATGTGCACATACTGCGATGTATGTGCATGCTTTATTTACATAAAACAGAAGAAAGTGTAGCTGTTAGTGTCTATTATCAAAGTGCCAGAAAGATCCTGTTTTAAACAATAATATCTTGCTTGCTGATAAATGAGCCCAAAGTGATCTGAAACAAGTTGATCTCTGTATGTAGCTGTTCTCACTGGTGCTTCACCCATTAGTAGTATGATTACTTCTTGAAAAACTAATAATCATTATTGTAAGTTGATAATAGCAGCTACTATTAAGTCTCTGGTTTACATGATTTAACTAATTTAATACTTATACTGGCTCAGGAAGAGAAGATAATATAATCTCCCTTTTATAGATTAGGAAACTAAGGCATGAGAAGAAACAGTGACTTGATTAATGTCATAAAGCTGTTAAAGGACATAGTTCTTGTTAAACATTGTACACTTTGATTCAAATGTCATTTTTCTTAAGTTTTCATGCTGGTCCAAAGCACTGACTTTATGATTTTTTCAAATTAAATTGGTTTAAATGATGACATCCATGATCTTTCCAGCTAAGCAAAAATAGTCATGCCCCTCCCCCAAAAAATTTTAAATAAATGTTGCAAGTCACCATTATTTCTATGAAAATTGAGACTGGATTACTATTTGTATCTTCATAATTGTTAAAATCCTTTCTCATTGTTTGTGCTATCCTTTCAGGGTCCCTTCCCCTTATCTTTGCTTCCCAATGTCAACTGAAAATTCCCTGAGTCAGTGCACAACTTTTAATCCACATATCAACACCTGACAAAATAGATGTAATTCAGCAAGAAGACTGCCACAAAGCGGTGGCAAAAAATAATATATTATGGAAGGAAGTAGGCCAATTGTTTGTTGATAATAAGCAAATATGTAAATATGAGTATACATCACATATTAACTCCTGATTCTTATATGTAGCAAATTAATAAACATTGCAAACCCTGGATAAAGATTTGGCAAAGTTAACATAGCACAATTTGACCAACATTTGTTAAGAATTCTTTGCATTAAATGGTTAATTGATGTTAGATTATACCTATCATTATGTTTACTTCTTATATTTAAGTAGTATACATCATAAATTTTATAAAGAAAATGACCCTATTGTATCCTTCTAATAAGCATAGAGCTGTAAAGGGTTTGAAGCCCTCTAGAAACATACAGGATATTGTGGAGATTAGTAGGTGCAAAAAAATAAAGCATGCATGTTTAGTTATTTACAGTCTGGTGCTTAATGGAAACTTCCTTAGACTCTGACATAGAAGATCCTTTACTCTCACAGATAAGAGAAGACAGAGACAGACAAGCAAATCAGAATACACAATGCAATGTGTGCAGCATTAAGAGATTAAACTATACCTATGTAAGTTCAATGTAAAGAATGTTTGGGACCCTTAAGGCGAAGTATGAGCAAAAGTAACTGAGGTAGAGGCCATGCATTCAAAGGTAAAAAGAGGCTTGATTCTACAGAAACCTGAGGGCATCTTTGGGACAGGAAATGCACTCTCTCAATAGGGCTGAAATCACTTTCTTACTACAAAGGTGTTTTATGCTCAGCACATCTTTTCTTTGAGAAGGTGACATTAGCAGTGTAAAGGAAGCCAGTAATGGGAATGAGAGATTCCAGAGAAATTTACAGGATGAATAGGCTACATCATGACTGATTGGATGACAACCTAGATATCTGGCCTGAATAGTAGAAGGTGCTAAGTCTTTTATCTTAAATATGGCCTCAGATGAATTGGTGCAAGGTAATCTTGCAGTGAGAAAATAATAGTATTTATTTCATTATATGTTATGTTAGAAATGATGAACATGATTTCTTGCTAGAGATGTGAGAGCACTTACACCAGTCTTCCCTTGATATCCACAGAGGATATGTATGTCTCTTGTCATCCACTGGTTCAAATATCAAAATCTGTAGATGCTGAAATTCTTCATATAAAATATTGCAGTGTGTGCATACAACCTAATCACATTCTACTGCATACCTTAAGTTATCTCTAGATAAGTTGAAATGCCTAGTACAATATACACTGTATATGAATAGTTGTTCTAATAGGGAAATACGACAAGGCAAAACTAACATATACATGTGCATATAGGTGCGATTTTTTCATCACTTATCTGGAATGCACAGTTAGTTAAATCTGCTAGCTGTTGTAATTTCTTTAGTCATGCACATTTCACCAGTAAATTATAAGTTTAACAAGGAAAAAGCCCTGAATTTGTTCATCTTTTTATCCATACTTTTATATCTCAATATGTTATAAAAACTCAGAAAATTAAGGTAGGATGAATACAGCCATCAGATGAACGGATCAGGATGAAACAAGTAAATGAATAAAAAACTGGATGGGACACTAGAAAAGCAATATATGACATGGGCAAAATCCTAAAAAAGTATATTAGGAATTTAGCAAGGAGTTCTTTCAGCATAAGAATCTTATAATCATCCATGGAAATGCTGTCCTTTGAAAAATGCACAGATTTTGCTGAAAAAACTTTTAGTAACTCCAATTTATGGTGCAAAAAACAAGTTTCTAATTCTAATTTTTGGTGCAAAATGCAAGTTTTATTGATTTAATTTTTAAGTTACTGCTGCTATTTTCTAATTTTATGCACATTAAAGAAATTCTAGACAATGTAGTCTCTTCGAAAATACATTTTTTCTTAACAGTAGTCAATTATCTGTATCTATAAATCTGTATTGCTCCGGGTTTTATTAGAGAGAATAGATATAACCCGGGATATATAGAAACCACAAGATTGGCTTACGATAGTCAGTCACAGAGTCCTATGAGGAAGCGTGCAGAGGATATCTATGCACTAGAGGCCGAAGGATTCAATCCAAGATCTGGAGTTCACCCTAGTGTCTTGTGCAAGTCCACACCAGCAGGCTGGTGGGTCTGCGACAGAAGGCCGAAGGCTCTGTGAAGAAAGGCTGAAGAGTCTACGCTGGAAAGCTGAAGAGTCTATACTGGAAGCCAGGAGGCGAGGTCCAAATCAAAGGCGAAGATTGGAGCTTCTCCCAAGAATGCAATGGATTCGTTATTCTTCCTCCCCTTTTATACCTCGAGGTGATAACCCACCCTAGGGTGGGTCTTCTTTTACATCCTTGGGTGTAGAATTGCTAAACCCATTTAGTTAGCTTCTAACTGTCTCAAGTTGACACAATCAATCAACCACTACAATATCCATTTCAAAATTACTTCTCTTCACCCTGGGGTTCTTACCATAGGCGAATATAACAATAATCATATCTGATAGTAAGTATATTCATAGTTCATAATGATATGCCATTTAGTTTTTCTGTACTATAAGTAACAATATGCTACTACTTTAGGAAAATAATAATTTTTGAGAATATAGTTACTGAACTAACCATATATAAAACTAATTTAAAGCACCATAGAAACACCATTAATGCTTAATGTTTGTCAGTCATATCAATATGTTGTTCTTAAAATATACATTTTGATTAAAAATCTGTGTCTTTATCCATTCAGTGAATACTCACTGAATATTTCTCACATTCCAAGAATTATGCAAGGTAATTGGAATATGTAGATGCTCTACCTTGAGTATCTTATAGACTTGGAAAATAGCTCTTAAATTCAGAGTGTTTAAGAATGCCCTGAAAGTGTTAGTGAAAAATAAGAGCTCTCCATCCTCACCTTTAAAGAGTTTTAAGCCATAGAATAGGAAGTCCTTGGAGTTAGCATTTATAAGAGACTACATTTGATTGGAAAACTTTAATAAGCCAAGTAATTTTCATAAGTAACTCTACAGTGTATTTAAGCTACAGTAGAATTTCTTTAATCTGGTAACTGTAGTGTCTATATTACCAAGGGCAGAATATAAAGCAGAAATTTTTAATGGTTATGAAAAAAGCATCACCTTAAGTAAAAATCATTATTTCACTGGCGCATGAAGTTATTCCTATGTTTGTAAAAGTACAACCAATTTATCCAAGTAACATGTTCATTCATTTTCTCAAAGGGCTGTCTTTAGATAATCACCTGATGTTGAATTCCATTTGTAGAGTACCTGATGAAATACAGCTATGTTCATTCTTCCAGTATCTGAATCCTGAGCCCCACAGATTCAGCATTAACTTTGCAAGTATTCAAGGGACCAATGAATAGGAAAGTCATTTTGTAAAGCACTACAGAAAATCTACTATAAATATGAAAATCTTGCTCTTTAAACAAGACCCAAAATAGGAAACATAACAATGCTCTGAAGAAGTTAGATTATAGAAAAGAAGTTAGAATATTAACTAGCTTAAGTTAGTATTGAAATTAATAAACTGAAAGCAGCATTTCATTTTCAAATATGAATGTTGAATCTTATTTGTATAATATTAAATCTCACATTTGGTAAAATATATTTTAGAAATTGCATTTTTCCGGCATCAAAGACTCAAAGCAAACAGCTGCTACCAAGAAATGGCAATAATGATGAAAAGTAAATGAAGGAACTAGAAATTGCGAATGTTATATGAACAAACAATTCATTGCTTTTTAAACTAGAAGAGGGTGGTCTATATCCTGGAATTCAAAGCCATGTAACAGATTAAAAAAAAAAAAGAATTTGAATGATAAATTTGTATGACACATAGAGTCATCTAAATAACACTAGGGATTATGATATATATATATATATATATATGCAAGCTTTAGGGTACCTCAGCCTGCAGTTACTGCAAAGTGAATTAGAAAGAAGAAAATTATCCAAAGGATGTAAGTAGTAAACTGGTGATTCTTGATCTTTTAGAAAAACTTTGAAGTCTCTTTGATTGAAGTTACAAGAAAATCTGAGTTTTCTCTGTACTTTTGATTTGCCATTCTCATCATTATTGTTTCAGATTAACCTCTTAATTGAGTACCTTTTGAAATGAATGATGACATTTACTGGTAAATAACTGGAAACTACTGCTTTTTCAGCTGGATGAAGAAGCCTCGATGTGGTGTACCTGATCAGACGAGAGGTAGCTCCAAATTTAATGTTCGTCGAAAGCGGTATGCATTAACAGGACAGAAGTGGCAGCACAAGCATATCACGTACAGGTATAAAAAAATAATGCTTTAAACGCTATTCATGAATTTTTTCATTGCTACATTTTGGCCTTTTATTTCTCTGTTTTCTGAACATGGACTACCTGATAACGTGTAGTGATGTGATGCTATCTTGAGGAATTTAAAGCTGCGGCTGAGAGAACAATAAATTGCCTTTCCTGCAATCTTGTAAGCTGTCTTTAACCAGTTGGTCAAGTTTGTGTACAACCTTCCACCTTCAGTTAGGGCCAGTATTTTGAAGGATGAGTATTCTAACACATTGCATTCTCCGTCAGGTATTCACCAGTGAATCAAATAAAGAGGTATATGAATAACTACACTGTACACAAGATGGCTTTGAATTTATTAACTTTCAGTATTTGGTCACTTTACTTTCAGTCATTTTGAGAAATATACAAGTGAATTGTGTCTGTTTGTGTTGTTATCAGTGATGCAAAGTGCCTTGCAAGGTAGAGTGACAGACCCTTCTAATAGAGGTGTTCATGTTTATTCATTGAACAACTGGCCATCAGGTTTCAGTATGAATAACAAATAGTTCTAGGGCCTGAGGAAATAATAATAAATAAAACATTGGGAAAATGTGTGTCTTCATGGAATGTACAGTGACATGGAGAAGTTGAACAATAATATAGATGCAGTACCACTTACAAAAATGAAGGAGCAGGAAAGAGAAATGTATCCAGTTATCCAAACCATTCTAGAAAACTAGAGGATTGCTTAATGAAATTATCTTTAATCAAGACACATAGCAAGAAAAAGAACTTATTATGCCAGTGGAGAGAAGAGAAGGGTACTTTGATATGTGCGGATATCAGAACTATCCCTCAAATTACTTGGCTAGAAGAAATTCTTCTATAATTATCACTTTTCATGTAAATATCCTTCATGAGTGTTTAAAAACTGAAATGTTAGTATATTGGTTTATTTTACCTATATAACTAGAAAGTTCACTGCTACTTCAGATTATTGTTCAGTGCTACTTATTGTTTTATGCAAGTTATTTAATTTTTTTCTGCAGATAAAGGCATATTTATGCCAAGCTCATGAAGTTCATGTTCACCACAATTTAATTTGTTTGTAGGATTTTTTTTTCACAAACTTGTTTTACTACCTCTAAAGTATATGCTAATAAATTATGGACTTGAGTTTGTATATTCCTAATAAGGATATAAATACCCAGATGTGTGATTACTGATCACATATTAAGAATAGGATTAGCTTTCTCAGAAACGGCCAAAATGTCTCCCAGAAGGCTTACCCCATTTGGGTGTATCACCAACAATAACTTCAGTTTCTTTTCTTATACCACCTCTCAGCATTTAGCACTGTCCATGATTTGAATTATAGCTCTTATAATGAGGGTATATTGACATGTAATTTGTTTTGGGGTAAAACAATTTTATTGAGATAAATTATTTAATTTGCTATTCCCTAGTAAATTAAAATGCTGAGCAAATTTTCATATGCTTGTTGGCCATCAGTGTATCTTTGTTTGCTGTGGTATGCGCTCAAATAGTTTCATCAATTTCTAATTGGCTTTGATTACTTTAAGATTTCTTTGTACACTCTACACGCAAGTCTTTTAGCAGTCATGTTTTCAGCTATTTTTTTTTTTTTTTACAATATTTTTTCTGGAGCAAAAGTTTAAATTTTAATTAAGCTCACCAATTTTTTTTTCCTATCTTGTGTTCCTGTTTTTGAATCTAAAAAATTAGAAATCTTCATCAAACCTAATGCCACTCAGGGTTTCTTGTATTATGTTCTGAAAGTTTACTACTTTTCTGCTTTACATTTAGCACTACGACCCTCTTGGAGTTAATGTTGAAGTAAGGTGTAAAGTGGGTGTCTAGCTTCATTTCTTCCACACTGACTTTTGTGAATGTCCCGTTGTTTCAGTACCATTGTTAAAGACCATCTTTTTCCCATTATACTGCATTTGCTTCTTTGTGACAGGTCAAGTAATATATTTGCACTGGTTAGTGTTTGCATTCTTTTTTGCTGTTGTTGTTCTATTGGTTTATACATCTGTCCTTAAATCAGTAGTATTCTGTCTTGATTACTCTGACTTTATAGTAAGTCTTAATATCAAGTAATTTCAGTTTGTTGGCTATCTTAAATATAGTATTAGTTTTATAGAGTCTCCTACCTCATAGTATAAGCTTTAGTATTAATTTGTTGATTCTTACAAAGCAATTTACTCTGATTTTGACGAGATTGCATTATATCTAGATCAAGTTCAGAAAAGTTGAAGCCTTAAACATACTGAATATCTCTATTTATGAACCTGATCATCTTCCTATATATTTAGGTCTTTGATATTGGAGTTTTGTATATTTCATTGTTTAGATTCATACACAGTTTGATAGATTTATTCCCAAGTGTATTATTTTCTTTGAATGCTGGTTTAATTATTGTGTTTTTCATATGAATTTCCAGTTGTTTATTGTTGTCATGTAAGAAACCAGCTGATTTTTTATATTAACCTTGTATGCTACAAACTTTTCTATAATTGATTATTTTTATAATAGCTTTTTTATTATTGATGATTCTTTAGTGTTTTCTGCACAGAGAATCATGTCATTTGTGAACTAAGATAGTTGTATTGTTTTTCCCATTCTAATCTGTATTTTGTTTCTTGTGTTATTACATTAGCTAGCATTGATATGCTTGTTTGATTTTTCTTTTTTAGCTTTGATGTGATATGATGCATTAACTGATTTTTTAACGTTGCCTCAAACCTGCAGACTTCAGTTAAATATCATTTGTTCATGTTTTACATTTTTTAATAGATTGTTGGCTTTGGTGAATGATTCGTTTGGTTCAGGAATTTTACAGCTATATTTTTAAAGAGTGCTAATCCATAGTTCCCCCCTTAGAGAATTTTCTGATTTTGATTGTTAGATGCAGCAGTTTTGTAGTCTCCAACTACAACAGTGGTTTGTATGCTTCTTTTAAAATTTTGTATTTGTCTTACATAACTTGTTTTGTTGTTTAGCATATATACATGTTAAATATTAAGTATTTTTGGAAAATTGACATTTTTATCATTGTGTAGTCTCTATTCTTGATCATTTCCTTTTCTGCAAAGGAAAAATCTCATTTGGAATTACTATACCTATTTTAGTTTTCTTTTTTAATAGGTCTTTCTCTCTCTCTCTCTCTCTCTCTCTCTCATTTTGTCTTGTTTTGTTTTGTCTTGTTTTGCTTTGTTTGTACTGGGAATCAAATTCAGGGCCTCATATTTGCCAGGTAGGTGCTATGCCACTGAGCTATATCCTCGGTCCTCTCCTTCCTTCCTTCCTTCCTTCCTTCCTTCCTTGCTTCCTTCCTTCCTCCTTCCTTCCTTCCTTTCTTTATTTCTTTCCTTCTCTTTCTCTTTCATTCTTTCTATTCCTCCCTCCCTCCTTCCTTCTTGACTCTCTCCCTCTTTTCTCTCTCTCTATGCTTCTTCTCTTTCTTTATTTCTTTTATCTTTTGTGAGGTATTGTAGATTATCTGGGTGGATTTTTTTTATGGAGAAATTAACAAATATCTCTCCGTTTTTTAAACTTTACTCTTGTACTTAAGGTGCATTTCTTGTAAATGGAAAACCTTAGCATGTATCTTGCTTTTTTTGTTTAATACATTCTACTTATGCATATATTTAATTTTCATATTTAAATTAGTATTTCATGCAGTTTAATTAACACTCATGATAGTGGTAACTATTTGCTGTTGTCTGTTATTTCACTATATTTACTTTGATATTCCACTTTTTCTGCCTTGAGTGACTTAATTTAGCCCTTTATGTTTCTACTTCCCTTTAGCATATCCATGGTGCCTTCAAAAATTATTGTAGTAGTTGTTCAAAAGTTGTATTCTTACAGTTGTTATGAGATCAATTAAAAATAAGAATAATAAAAGATTATACTTAATTTCATTTATTCTATCTGTAATATGTTTCATTGCTTTAGATGGATCTGAATTTCTGATTTACATTTTTTCCTTTTGTCTGACATGTCTTTCAAAATTTCTTACAATACAAATCTACTGACAAACTGTTCTTTAAGAATCATTAGTGACTTTTGTTTGTCATTTGGTTTTGTTTTGCTACTTCACTTTTGAATATTATTCTTGAGTACAGAAAAAAATCTGGGTTGATAGCTTTGCTATATAAACAGCATTTTCTTCTTGCTTATATGTTTTTTAAAGAGAGGTATAAAAGTGTCAGTATTATTCCTCTACCAATAAGATTCCTCTTTTTAAAAATGGTTTTCATCTTTTTTTCTCCTATTTGCATATGAAGTTTCTAAATGTAGATTTTTTCAGAGTATGGTTAACTTACTTCATATTATCTGAGCTTAGGGGATCTATGCTTTGAGGTCTGTCATTAATTTTGGGCTGTTATCTTTCTCCTCCTGCTCTTATTATGTGAAGGTATTCATGAAATGATTCGTAAGTTTCTTTTTTTCTAGCAATTTCTTTTGATTCTCTCTTTGAGTTCCTGTTGTTCTCCTTATGTTATTCGTGTGGTTCTTCATCTTGTCTGTTTTTCCACTAGCATTTTTAATACATTGACATTATTTTAAATATCCCATTTGATATTTCTAAATTTTCAGCTATATCTAAGTCTCATTCTACTGCTTGCTTTGTCTTTTCAGGCTATTTTTCCCTTTCTTTGTGGCATGCTTATGTTTTGTTGACAGTTGTACATAATATATCAGAATAAGAGCAAGGATAATGATACATACATTTGTAAGGCTTTGTATTGATCTTTTTAGAAGCTAGGCTATGTTTAACATCACTGTACCTGAAATTCCGTTAGCGTCCTCTTCAATTTTTTTTCTCCCCTCTTGTCCTTAACTGTCCCTATAAACTTCTTCTTAAATAGATTGTACCTTTAGTCTCTCTCATTTGTAATCCCCATTGTGACACTGAACCCCTGTTGGTGTGGTGTAAGGTATTATTGAAAAGGAGCCGACAATAATCTTCTGATTAAATCTCTTTTTCTGGTAAGCTCAAATATCTGGTATGACCTTTCAAAAAGCTTCTTAACTTCATTTTTTTTTCCTTTTTCTTTTTCCTTCTCCTTTTTATTGTGAGACAGAAAGTCTAAAAGGTCTGAGCTGTTTAACTGCCTTTCACTTAGACAATATAAAGCTCTCATAACATAGTTACTGGTGAATGTGGAGCCTTTGTTATAGAGAAGAGAATCCTGGGGTACAGGTTTAAATGTGTGCTTTTTCTCTTTCCTTTGCTGAAAGCAGGGGAGGCTTTTCTCAAATTCTCTGCTGTGAGAAGTTGCTGGGGCCTCCCAGAAGGAACAGTCATAAATGAGTAGACCAGTCCCCTAGGCGTGGCCTCTTGGATGTTTTCATTCTCCAGCTGGTCCAGGTTACCATTTAAGTGTTTCTGCCTGTTCCCTGCCTTTAGAGGCTTTTGTTCTTCCTAAACTCATTCTCTGTATTTGCCTTTGACTCCGTTTTGGCACTACAGTTTGCCTTGTTGCATCAAGCTTCCAGTGGAATAATTTTTGTTCATTTTTAGTCCATTTAACTTGATTTTTGATGAGGCTGAGAATGATGACGTTCAAGGCAGAAACTGGAAACCCACACCCATCTTTTTAATACAAGAAATCAAGCAAAAAATCCACATGACACATACATTCATTCACAAAGCATATAGAATGTACAATCTTTATTAAAGTATCACTTCATGCAGACAAAAATATGATATAAAAGAATGTATCTACAAATTACTGGTAAGCTTGTTTATGCAGAAATTTACAAAAGACACCACAGAAGAACAAAAATTAGTGTTAGAGACATTTTTTACTCTCAAAAGGAAAAATTATAGTGATTAACATTTTACACAAAGCATTTCAATTTTAATCAAAATCTCAGCAACTTTGTTTTACGTTGATATAATTTAACAAAATTAATCAAAATATATCTGGCGGATCAGAATTTAAGTGAAATACTAAGGTGTTTCCACACATGAGATATGAGGACTTATTTCAAGTCAATCCTTAGTAGGAAAGTGATGTTAGCATGGAATTGGAGAAGTAGACACAAGTGTGTACAAAATTCATTCATGCAGGTGTAGGCCATTTACATCAGTGGGGGAAGGACTGACTATTTTACTTACAAAATTTTTTTGCGATGATTATTATCTGTATGATAGACTTTCCACAGCAGTCTCACCATAAGCCAGCAGGGCAAATGACTCAGAAAATGTCAAAATGATCAAGATTTGATAGACTATATAATATCCAAAGTAATAGCAATGATCATTTTTTGTTTAATTTATTCACCAAGATTTATATGATACACAGTTTTTCCCTTATCAACACCAAATTTTCAGCTGCATTCTAACAAATAATTCTATACTTCTCAAAAGCAATCAAAATGACAGAATGAGGGTCCCAAGTTCAGCGACATAATCACCAGGCTGGCCAGTGCAAGGTCGTGAGTTCAATCCCTGGTCAAAAAAAAAAAAAAAAAAGAATGCCAGCATATGGAAAAGTGGGATGAGAGAAGAGGTTCAAGATTAAATGTTAAGATTCTCAACATGCAGGAAAAAATACTTTGGACAAGAGTCTCGCAAATATTCATAGGCTTTGGAAACAATCTAGTATTTTGAACTATTGGAAAATTAAATCATCCATTTTATCAAACTTTCTCATCTTGGTCCCATTTAAATCAAGAAATATATTCACTTATCAAATAAGTTAGAAGTCATTTTTGTAATGGTTGAAAAATTAGTTGCTAAATTGATGAATACTAAGTAGACTTTGGTTATCCTTTTTCCACAAAATAAGAAAAACATATTGAATAAAATAATCATAATAAAATATATATTTTTATTTTGTATATTTGATGAATATTGTGAAAAATAGAGTAAATTCACTGTATTTCAGAAATCTAAATTCCAAAATATTTTAGGTATCAAAATCCAATAGGACCTGAACGTGTATTGCCAGATGAGTTTATTTTTAAAAAATGTATCCATGAGTATTCACCATATATTAATATTATATTAATAGTACAATAATACTCTTTTATATTGGTTAGTTTTGATTTTCCCAATATAATCATTTTTTAGCTTAACTTAGTTTTAAATAAGTGTTTCTATGGAAACTAAAAACATAGACTAGAATTTATTTTACTTTAACAACTTATGCATAGCGAAGAAATTCAGAATTTGCTAAAAAATTTAATTTATTGCCAAAAATACTTCTTATTACTCTGCCTCAACTTGAAGAGCTCACTGCCCTTGATGGCCATTGACTTCACAGAGAGCTCAGGTTATATGTCGTGCGGACCCAGTGCTGCCTGAAAAACAGACCCTATTTAAAGAAGAGCCAAGAATTGCATACTTAATTCTTTCTTGCCTGGAAGGCCAGATTCTTGGGAAATAGCCAAGTATTTAATGGAACTTTAACTGGAGAGACTTCATGTCCATATTTTATTCCATGGCAATTTCTCATACATAAAAAATTGTGAAGCTCCATAAACTATGTAAACATAATATGAATAACAGTAAATTGATCTCTTTTGTTTTCTCCTGATAGAACATAATAATTCATTCTGAAGATGGATGTGCTGCTTATTATTTTCCTCTATTCTTATAAATAATCTATTTTATGTATCACAATAAATTCCTTTTAGTTGAAGTTCATTTTGGATATTAGTATACTTTCCTGAATAGCTCATTTTATCTGTTCAGTTGACTAAAATTCATTTATTTATCCTTCTTTGTACCAAAATAAGACTGACATACGAATCTTGTAAGATTTGGGTTTCTTAACTAGAGGTGAAGCAGTAACTCTTTATTGTTAGTTCCTTTATTAGAAATAAAGCAGCCATCAAATTTGATAACAGGCAAAGCTATATCAAAAATTAAAGATGACATGATTCTAATTATGTAGAATTATTATTAAAGGAACTGGTATTGATCTAATGATGTTAAAACTAGAAAATCATGACTTTACATTTATCCTAGAAGTTAACTGACATATCTTTCTGACAGTATCCATTATTCGGATGGATAATAAAGTCTAGACATTTTTCCTTTATCAATGTTATGTAGGATTGTAAGAGGCATGGTAATCAAAATAACACACCACTTTTTTTTAACCAAAGTTCAAAAATTTAGCAATTCAAATTGGAAAGAATCAGTTAAATTATATAATTAAAGTGCCACATAAAGACTTTTAAAATGAGATTCATTCTTTTGAAATTGAGTAATAAAGCAAGCTAAAACGTTTTAACATATGTGGTGGCATGCACATATAATCTCAGTACTCTGAGAAACTAAGGCAGAAGAAGCTGATGTTTGAGCTATTTAGCTTTGGGCAACTTTAGACCTTGTGACAAAATAAACTGAAAAAAGAGAGTAAATATATAGATCAGTGCAAAGGTCCTAGGTTGAACCCCTCTACTAAGCTGCCAAAATTATATGAACTTTATTAAATATTTTGGATTTAGCTTTTATTTTACTTACTTTATAACATTGTCTTTTATTTGGCAAATATAATCATGCATACATTGTTTATTATAATTGTTAAGAATAGCATTTTATTTTTCCTGTTATTACCATATATTCTTTCTGTGCCTTTTGTTATTAGGTATCAGTTACAGGTACATCTTCCTATGACATAACTTTTTGTTTTTGTTGATACTCCATTCAGAACTCTAGCTGTGACATTAGAGCACACATACAAGTATGTATGTTCGATTGATAGGTTATTTATTTTCTGTTTTACAAAATTATTTTGCATTTGAAATTAAAATTGATGTCTCCAGTACCTATTGATTCCAGTACCCATTCCTATTCACAATCTTCTCAGATCATACAGCAAAACTAAATTTTTATATTTCCATGGTTGCCACTCTTACCAGCGTTTCTGGCTTCTCTTGGGTGAACTTCTGAAGTGCTCTGGCACTTCCATTCTTATCTCCTTACCCATCTCCCATCAAACACAGGCATATTTGTAGCTGGAATAATGTCGATGCGCTTCTGTGCATAAAACTCTGCAGCAGCCTCACTGCACGGCCCTCAGCGCCATCTCACTGGATATTATGGCTGTTCATGATCCCGTTGCTGTACTCACTCAGCAATCCAGTTCTTTGAACCTGCCCTTGACTGTTCTGCTCTCTGACTGCTTTCCCTGATACAGTGTTTGGCGTCCTTGGCTTTGAAATGTCATTGAATGACATTTTTCATCTTTTAACCTCCTCACCTCTGAATCATTCTTTTTTGTGCTTTATATTGTCTATCTTTTGTTACTAAGCATATAGAGTAGTAACCATTACGGAGTAAATTCTTTCAAATAGTGTGCCTAGGATTAGCTTCCCACTAAGGAGAGACTTCTAAAACCCCGTACAATAGAAAGACAATAAATGGCTGCTAGAAAAATTAATTTAGACAAAGCTCAAAGTTATGACAGTACTCAGTATGTTTCTTCAGCCATGAAATAGGAAATTTAGAAACTAACAAAGGACTCTGATGCCTCAGTGTCTGTCAATATTTAACATTTCTCAAAATATGATTCAGGGTGACATGCTGAATAGGGCATGCAAGCTAACAAACAGCAGCAAACTTCTGCCTAGCTTTCCTTGAACATCCATAAATTATTTTGCTTTTTGTGTTTTTAGCTAAAGTGAAAAGTTGGGTGTCTTTGTTGACTCTTCTCTTTTTTTTTTTCATATCGATAGCTAACCATACATCTTGGCAAGTGTAACCTCTCAATATATATCCAGAAAACAACTGCTTGTCAGTATCTCCTGATACCACCATTTTCCAAAGCATCATCATCTCACATCGGTATTTTTGCAGTAGTTCTTGATTGGCTCTTCCTGTTCCAACCATTATTTCACTTCACTATATTACACATCATGGACATATCTTTAAGTCATTTATTTACAAATAATTGTCATATCTTTGCTTACAGTATTCTACTTTCTTACCACTCTCACTAAGAATGAAATGCTGTCTTCTCTTCACCCTCTATCTCTGCTCAAACATTACCAGCTACCTTGCTTGCCTTTAAATTTGCTAAGACTGTCTGCACTTCAAATTGTTTAACTTAACATTTCTTCCTGGAGTTCTTTTCCCCTCCACCCATTTCCACTTTGTTTGCTGCTTTGTTATTTTTATATATGATGAATAACGTTCAAGAACAGATAATCATATAAATGTGTTCTAGATTATTTATTAGAATAAAAGTAGACAACTTATTTTAGATATGTGTCCTAGCATAGACGTCAAGACTGATTTATTAGAATGCTTCAGATGAAGTGTTCCAGAGCTTTTTCAAGTGTTCCACCTGGGAGCTCTTCTGTAAGTTCCTGTGAATCTTTATTTCTGCCTGATCTTTTTTCTCTTCCTCCTGCTCCTGGTCCTCTTCCTCCACCTGCTCCTTCTTTTTTTCCTCGTCATCTCATTGGGTTGATTAAGAAGTAAAGTTAGATGTTTTAAGGTGATTGCCTAAGTCATAGTAAATGCTCAATATTATTATTAGCGTTTCTCTCCTAGCATTTGTAATTATCTGAATTTTTTGGTATTTTCTTCGTCAGCTGAACAAAATCCCAGACACATGCATCTTAAAAGTGAGGTTTATTTTGACTCAAGTCTTAGAAGATTCTGTCCTTGCATGATCAGCAGCTTCAGACAGAAGCAGCTCAGTAGACAGGCCCAAGCAGAGGGAAGTTGCTCACCTCATGGCAGACGGGAAGTGGAGAGAGATAAATCCTTCCAGATCATGACCCTAGTGACCTGTCCTTTCCACCTAGGTCCTGTATTCCAACAGCAATTCAGGTATAATGTCCCTGTAATCCAGTCATCTTCATACAGCGCCATAAATGAGTTCATGAGGCTCTTGAGCCATCTAGATATAAACCATGACACTGGACTTAGTTAAAATTGTGTTGTGTATAACGTACATATTATTTTGTCCACTAGAAATTCCATTGTAAAAGTTTTCCATGCTGCCAAAGGTTTGAAAAGAAAAATGTGTTTTTTCTATATATACAATAAGATGCACCAGGAAAATTATAATTTATAGTAGGTTTTTATTTTTGTACCTGAAGCAGGACCTTGTGTTTACAGCCAAGTGCTTGTGCCACTGAGCACTTTTGTGCCAGCAAAATTGTAATTTTAGTATTCCTTTATTGTTGTGAATTCTTTGGCTTCAACTCTCTTTTATGATTGCATTGCATATTCACTTCAATATCATATCCTGTTTTTGCATTAGATTACTTTAAATATTATATTCCTTTTTGAGTTGAAATATTTCCTTTGTGGGCTGGAGTTCAGCTTAGTGGCATAGTGTACGACTGGCAAGCACGAGGTCTTGAATTCAATTCCTGGTACAAAAAATATATATATATATATTCCTTGTGTAAGTTTATGTTGGGCAGATTATTGGTTCAAGGAGTTTGAAAGTTTTTAATGGATTTTACTCATTGTTGTACATATTGCATGGATTTATGGTACTACAGTATAAAATAATTCTTCCTAGTATTATTTGTAGTCCATTTAGGGAAACATATGAGATTATCTTGAAAAAGGTAAATATCTGACCAGTGTTAATATAATGAAGAGCGGTGTTAATAACCATTTCATATATTTAGCATCAAAATAAATATAACATTTTGTGTTGAATTGGTATTCATAGATAAAGAAAAGCATAAATGCATTGTTTGGAATTAATATGTGCAGATAAATTAGTATGCTCCTAAAAGAAACTGAAATTTTTAATTCAGTTCAAAACTTTTGTGCCTGTTTGATTATTTGGCAAATTTCTGTATTACTGTTCAGGAGTTGAGGTGAACAATAGATTTAGTTATTGTTAACTGCAGAGATTCTTTCCTGTATGCCTTGAAAAATGAATACCATTTGATGATAATTAAATGATCCTATTACAGTGAAAACGATCTATAGAGACAAGAGAAATGAATAAATCTCATTTCTATTGAATATGACTGTTTTATCTTATATTTTGCTAAGCTGATTAGATCAAGATTGGTAGTAACTCAGATGGCAATTAGGAAAATCATACTGATCGTTATCTTTTTTAACTTTCAGTATAAAGAACGTAACTCCAAAGGTAGGAGACCCTGAGACCCGTAAAGCTATTCGCCGTGCCTTTGATGTGTGGCAGAATGTAACTCCTCTGACATTTGAAGAAGTTCCCTACAGTGAATTAGAAAATGGCAAACGTGATGTGGATATAACCATTATTTTTGCATCTGGCTTCCACGGAGACAGTTCTCCCTTTGATGGGGAGGGAGGATTTTTGGCACATGCCTATTTCCCTGGACCAGGAATCGGAGGGGACACTCATTTTGACTCCGATGAGCCATGGACACTAGGAAATCCTAATCATGATGGTAAGTGCATCATTACGTTGCATTGTACATAGTTCTACTTTTATTTTGAGAATCCCCAATTGATTTGCTAATTTACAGTCTTACAGAATCAAAAATTATGAAAACAATATGTAAGGCTTTCTATGGTTTAAGTTAAGACATTATATTTCACTAGATAATGTAGCTATATATGTGTTCTTTTGATTAATGATTAGAAATTTATGCTGTTTTAGATGAATTTTGTTTTCTATAAAAGATCTATTTAGAAGATTTTTATTCACATAGCAAAGCCTACTGTTTTTACTGTACTTAATCCAGAATTTTCATTTGAAATTTAGTATTTGTGGTCTGGCTTTTACTGTAATTTTGTCTTAGACTATCACCATTCTAATTTAACATCACCATTCTAGCCTATAAATTTTATCCCTTCTCTTTTGTCTCATCTATTTAATCTTTCAATAGTCTACGAGTACATAATATATCTATATCTTTTATCAAATATTATTCCTGCAACTTAATCCCAATACATCTGAGTATTCTAATCATTATAATACTCTGATAAAAATGTAAAAAATAATAACCTCTATAGTCTAAAAAGAAGCTAATGATAAAAAAGCATGTTTGTCTTCCTGGACAAAAATTCATATTTCAAATTTTATTTTTTTAGAAAAGCCATAGCCATGGAAATTTAGGATTACGAGATCCCTGTGTATTTATAGACCCATTTTTGTAATCAATGCTTAAAATTTTTTCTTCCTCACCATTGTATAATGCTTTTCTGCTATAGGGCTGAACTGCTTTAATGATAGCTAATTAGCTAATAACACTGTTAATTCCTCCTTGATGAGTTAAGGCTCATCATGAAAATAAGTTTTGTTAGTCATTAGAAGTTTAGTTAGCTGGATTATTGTAATAGCCTTGTGTTTTTCAGTCACCTATGGTACAATTACATGATAGAATGAATTATATTAAATTGAAATTATATGTAACTACCAATGTTTTACAAAATAAAATATACAGTGTTAAAATAATTTGGGGCTATTCTTAATAACTTTAGATTTTGTAATACTAAATTTTAATTACTTTTCAAAAAATTTGATTGATGATAATGAAAGATAGGTCAAAAGATTTCAGAAAGTGGAATTAAAAATTTCAGAATTAAACGGATTTGTGTTTAAATACTCACGAACTACTTCATTACTTCAAGAAGCCTCACGTGTCTGTATACGTGTCTGGCTGTTTACTGTGTTGTTTTATTGCAGGATGTCAACATTGTAAGACATGCTTCCAGTGCAGTTGTGTTTAGTCTACTCTACTTGTACAGGTCTAGTAATAAAATGTCTACAAACCTGATAGTTGATAAATGCTTGTGGTGCTAATTTGATACTGTAGCCTCATAAATTTAAGAATCTTAAAATCCTACAAAAATGCTTCCCTTCAAATTGCCTGTACTTTGTCTTAAAATATGGAAATCTTCAATAAAGTAGCCTGGGCAAATCCTTTAGGTGTATGCCATAGTAGCAATAACTTCCACTTTTTGAAAGTAGGTAATAAATTTTCAGAAAAATCTATAGAAATATTTGGTGATACAGGCAAAGAGAATGTGTAACCTGATTTGAGTGTCATTGGTGCTAGGAATGTCTTTTGTATGATTTTAAGTTTTCCAAGGAAAATGTGGGTGGGTAAAATTCTCAGGTGTAACATGACCTAAAGGTATACAGTCAAGATAAAACTCTTTTGACTGAAAGAATTCGTTAATACATCTTAGCTACCTCTTAACTTACTTCGTTAATGTATCACATTATTTGCACACAAGTATTCCACTAAAAATCTAAATAATTACTTGATATTTGGTTTTGGTTTGTTTGTTTTGCTTTGTTTTTCTTTTTGCCTTTACCAGTCAAGTAAGAATACATTAGTTTGTGAGTGAAACTAAAGGAATAAATTAGGGAAAACAATAGTGTTTTCGAATTGCTGAGGATTAGAGAGATTTTACTTGACAGTTGGAAATGTAATTCCACAGAGATTTACTGCTTAATTGAAATTTAGCTTTGGTTGCATTTATAGGCAGATATGGGAAGATTTCATGTATTTATACATTCTAAATCCTAACTCTGTGTGAGACTCTCACTTCATATCACAGATAACACAAGGTGCAATTTTGACATCTTTATTGATAAACTTTTTCTTTTCTTTAATCCACTCCTGATATGCCTCTGGTTTACTTACCTGAATTATTTTCTTCCTTTCTTATTCACAGTTCTTGAGCAACTTGAAAACAAGTAGCTTGATTATTTAGCAAAAGTGCAAAGGAAAGAATCTCTTGATAAGTATCAAGCTCATTTTCCATAGCATATTGCATTCAGTTATGAATGCAACTTGAACACTTTCTATCTCAAAAGAGATAAACAGTATCTTAGACTGCCAGTCACCTTTATCTGCTTTTCTATCAAGGTGCTTATAGTCCTGAGACCTTTTAAAACCTCAAGCTATAGACTGTTATGTAAATTGTATAATCATTTTATTGAAATTGCTAACTATGTAAACAAAATGCCATTTTAAAGTTTTTCATTTTTATTCATTGAATAAACAAAATATATGCATAATAATTGAAAATGGATAGTACTTATCAAGATATGATTTTTAAAAAGTCTGTATTTCCTGAATATACATGGAAAATTTTAATTCTAACAGAATAAGATTCATTTTTGAGTAATACTAGGGTATTGTTTCCTTGACTGTAGTATTTAACTTCAGTAACACCATCAGTCTAAACAAAACGTACCATGAAGATTATTTCTAATTAGCCAAGTTATCTTCTGTAGCAATAGGATTTCAAACTGGTCATCTCCAAACAAAAAATATTGCCTATTAAAATGACATGTAAAATTTATGGTAAAAACATACATACATTATTTTACTATATTGTTGCAGTTCCCTTAACAATGAGAGCACACTGCAGTAATTCTGTTTGTTAGAAGTCTCCTGCCTAAAGTTGAGAGGTGACCAGCTGAGTGATCGGGATAGCTTTGCTAAACAGTCAAAAAACTGAGATAGGAATGACAATAAAAATGAGATATCAAAAGGTTTGTCTTTAAATATAGAGATATCAAAAATCTTGAGGATATCATGTTATTAAATGCGAGATGATTAATTCCTACATTGAAACTGATTCACACATACATACTCCTAAATGATGGCAAGCATCTTTATGAGTCCTTGGACATGCGTGACTAACAGCAGCATTGGACGGTGACCTTTCTGTGAGAGAGACACTCTCCAGTGCACTTGTACAGAAATACCCACTAGAGGAAAACCAGAGCCTTCCTGTCTGATCCCTCCGACACTTTTCTGTTCATTTTGCACTTGCCCTTGCTCTGTTTGTCAGATGCCTACAGGATATCAATCTCTGACAAAGAGATAAATGTCCACTGGATATTTAAGAAGATATCTACCAGTCAGTGCCACAGTCTGTGGGAGTTGTAATTACTTGCATATCTATCAGTCATCCACAATCTGTAGCCATTGGTTCTGAGATTTTTGAAAATAAGTGAAGAGTTTTGTATGACTGGAGAGTTAAGGCCTCAACCCAGCCTTAAAATAGGAGTAGGTATTGAGATTTTATATTCTGAAATTAGCTGACACATAACTTACACCTCATATCATGTTTAAACAAACCATTCTCCTGTTTCTGTGTTTCTTTTTTGTTTCCGTGTGTCTCTCTCTGCCTGTTTTCTCTCTCTCTGTCTCTTTATTTTGCTTTTACAAAAATAATGTTTCCTTCTTTCCTGGAATAAACATTTCATTTCATCAGACTGTGATTTGAAGTTGAATAGTTTTAACTTATCATAATGTTTCTTTTGCTAATACAGCTTCATGGGAGTATTGTGCCATATGAACTTGTTTATTTCTAGGGTTTTTTTTGTGCCATTAGAGAATAGCTGATGAAATGATATAATCCACTAAAATATTTCACTGTAACTTTTATTAAATATATAGATTGTTCATTATAATATAGTTATTAATAAATTAAACAAATGAAGCTATGAATGACCATAGCTTAACAGAAAAAATTTACCATCTATGTAAGACCCAGAAGTGCAGACTTAGCCATCATAAACACATGGTTTCCAGACAACCCAAATATACTCAAATACTTTCAGAGAGCAGTTGAGCAAACTGAAATAAATTTACTTCTGATATCTTATATTATTATTGCATATATCTATATAATTATTAATTATAAATACTGTAAATTATAATTTACATATGTGAGATAACTTATAAATTGTATGTACATACGTATTTTTCATACATTTCTAAACAGAATTCATTCCTGTGGCCATATCCAATCAAAGGGAAAGCTGGAGAAAGGTGATATCTTTATTTTTGAAATATTCCACTTGCTTTGAATTTATAGCTTGATCATTTTATTGCTTAAATTATCTAAGACTAACAAAAAATTTCTACTTTTGTGCTTTTTCTTTTGAGTGACAGCTACATCATTATAATATCTTTCATATCTTTATTTTAGCAAATCCCGTACATTTTAAATAAAGGTATTCATTAATTTTCCTTACATTTAATTTATAACTGTCTTCTTCAGCTGACAGGAGATGTAACAACTCCCTTCCTATGTGATCTATTCATTACATATCAAGGAAATATCAGAAGTAGATCTTGCTTTTATTCACACTGAGGAAATAGTATTTTTGTCATGAATGTAATGCATTGGAAACCAGCACTGCAGTGATGGAAGACAGTCTTAATTGTTTTACACAAGCCTATACTACATGCATATAACTGAGCAACAGAAATTGACCTCAGGCCTACAATATCAGCCTATTTTTCAAGTTTTAATTGAAAGGTTTATTTAGCTACAGTGTAGATCAAATAGAGAAAGCAAGAGATAATGTAAAATCCTTCACTGCTGCTTATCACCAGTTTTATCCAAGGCTACCAAAGAAAGAAAACAATGGAAGCTAATATTAGGAGCCCATGTTAATTGTACAGTTAGTATG